TGCAGTAAAGCACTCGCATTGGGCTTAATGTCTAACAATACACAATACAAGTTTAACTGTCAGTTTTGTAGTAAATAGCGTGATGTCTAATTTAAGTATAATGGTCATTTTCTGTTGTATTTCTCTGTCTATTATAGTATGCAATTTTCACAACCTATAAAGGCAAATACATAAATGACTAAATAAACTAAAGGTGTGTGTGGGTGGGTGGCTAGATATGGATTTGTTAATGGGGTTGTCAACTGGTCACGGCCCATCTGTGATTTGTCGTTGAATAAGACCCATGACACCCCCAGAAGGCTTAACCATAAATTCAACCCATTACACTCTGCCTCTCAACACTGAAGAGGCCTTTTGTGATTTACTCTGGAAACATTAACTTCAGAAACAGTTACTGGACTTGTGTTCTTCAGCCACTACAGAAAAAACTGCTGAACGAATACACATGCTAGGTATTTGCTCTTTTATGATATATATCATCCAGCACAGAGAGTCCAGCTCCACTGAGCCCTATAATGAGACTGTTGACATTACCCTGGAAAATGACCGCCTGGAGATAACAATAGAACTAAGCACGGTAACTATGGAAAGGAAAAGGACACAGTGCACGTGTCAAACAGCCATGGTAAATGCATAGGGAACCAGGAACCGGTGCTGAGAGCACAGTCATTGTTTCCACCAAATCCAGGTTCTCACACTTTTACTGGTCCATGTGTCTGGGTGTGGTGCCATCCAGCTGCTGGAGCTTTCTTTGTGACCAAATGTACACCGACCGTGCAGTTAGTTGCCCTGGTGACAGTTCATATGGGACAGTGAGGGAGGTGGGTCCAATAAACACATCCAAGTAACGTATGAACAAAATTCTCTGCATTGGTTCAAAAATATTTTTTTTTCACACTTTCGTCAGTCTTTTTCATGTTCAGTGTTAAAATATCTCACATCTGTCCCATTTCTCTAGCAGTAAGCGGTTTACCATGGAATAAAAGTGGTCGACCAAAAAAATGTTAATTGATGTATGGCATTTTGGTATAAATAGTCACTGAAACACTGTCAGATCTAATTTACAAAGAGAGGAAGTATGCATCTGAAAGTAAGTCTCAGACAATATAATTTTAAGGGAAAAACCTCAATTTGTATTTCATAATTGGGGCATTGCAGCGGTCTATTCTGAACCTGCTCTACTCAGCTCTGTTGGCAACTTGAAAAAAAAATGCCAGACCTCTCGTCCTATCATACCTTATAATTTTATGCATCAGTGTATTTCCCCACAGAGCTTGGACTGTTCAGAGGCGTCCAGTGCATGTATTTCCTGGAGAGGAAGAGAATTCCAAAAGCTGGCAGGAGACGGGTGACAGATATCCGAGACATCAGATGGTATCCAGTGTGGCGTGTTCCAAAATTTGTTGTCTGTTAGTAAATATAGTAGAGCCTGCTAGAAGCAGACGATATGAATAAAATCTTTCAGCGCAGTTTATGTGTTTCTCTACCACACCATCATACTGAATTGATTTTGGGATTGATTTCATTTTCAGAATGTTTTCACACCTGTATAATGCGGTTTAAATCCATTGTTGCATTTGTCAGTTTTGTTTGGTTCTTTCAAACTGGTGTGAAAGCTCTAAAACAAACTCTAGTACATACAAAACAACCCACAAGTCAAGTCAAAGACAATAAAGACAATTTAATTCAAGGCAACACATTTCAGCCAAGTCAAAGTCAAGTCTCAGGTCATTGGAGACTAAGTCCAAGTCGAGACTGAAGTTGAAGTCAATCCAAGTCCTAGGCAAATTTCACTTAATCAGTCAGGTCTAAGTGAAGTCTGAAATTGAAATCACTGAGACAAGTTCTAGTCAAATTTAGTGTCAAATTAAAGTCAATTGCAAAAAGTCATGTCTCAAAATAGTATAATATTGTCCAAGTCAATAATCAAGTTACAGTCCATTAATGCCCAAGTCTGTCAGAGCAAGTTAGAAATGTCTCAAGTCTCAAGTGCTTGATAGAAAGTCCAAGTCAAGTCAAAAGTCTTAACATATAAGTCATTCAGGGTTGAATGCTATGTGACACATAATTTTTCTGTCCAGAGCGTTTTACATCATTGTGACCAAGTCATTTTAATCTATAGTTGTAATAATGACATATTTTCATATTTTTATTTTATTATATTTTATTTGTTTAGCAATCTCATTTAAATGATCTAATTCTAATTTGGTCAACATTTGTCTTTCTGGGTCTGGGTCTTTGTGTCAAGATGTTGATGTTGGTGCAAGCATCCAGAAGCTGATATGGAGATTGATCCTTTCCCCTTATTCTGAATAACTGTCTTTGGGAATATGACAAATGACCAATCCAGGAAAACCACGTTGCCAGGATACCAATAGTAAAGTAAATCGCTCTCAGTATTGGCTAGAATACCTGGCCCTTTTCATAGCTATTCAAAAACAGACCATTCTGCAAAAATATGTATTTACATTTCCCAAAATTGCATGGTGGGGGTCTGTGGGTTTTGGAAAGGCCACATGGGTAAGTTTTTATATTGCTTGTACTATATGTTTGCTTGTCATTTGTAGCAAGCATGCTTGATATGTTGCAGTCAGAAAATATTTTTATGGCTCAAATGCAAATGGGTATTTGCAAACAGGTTTTATGTGCCACGAGAGATTACTCTTGAAATAGATCCTGAAGAAAACATCTTGACTTCAGCCAAACAGCTGAAATATTTCAAAGACCGCAGGGGTCACACAATGTAAATGTAAACATTTTGAGATGTATTTTACATAGTCTGGGTCATTAATACTTTATACCTGCTGTTCATCATGTACTGGCTCGAGGTAAAGCATCACAGCAAGTGAATATAACCTGCAGCATGCTGGCACCTCTCCATTATGTTATGGTCCCATATTTACAACTTGCTCCTGCAGCTTCAGCCCGTTCAACCTTAACATCACGTACCTCTTCCCAGATTAACACTGAGCCTCCTCCCTAAGGTCTAACTTTGTTCTTGGAACCCAAACTGCTGCTGGGGAGCAGCCGAGGCCCGCTAAAGCAACCATCAGAGTGTGACATGTGGATTTGTGTTACTAGTGATGTGAACAGTTAGTCACGAGAACCACTAAAAATATTCACTCGTGCCAGGCTTTTGTTGGTTAAAAAACATGCATTTCTTGCAATTATCAGTAGGGATAAAGATTTCAGACATGTCATGCTGTGATAATAATAGTAATATGTTTTTGTGTAGCAGTTTTTTAAAACAAGGTATCATAGTGCTTCACAGAAGAATAACACATTCCATAACAATAAAAGAACAGTGGTTTGGTACATAAAGATGAGTGAATTCATCTGATGAATTAAAAACAGATTGGGGTAATAAAGCTCAATCTGTCCTAATTTAATATTGAATTTGCATTTTCTTACCAAAGTCTCTTTGGTTTTCTCATTTCCGTGTCTGGCTCCTCTCAGCAGAGAGGTTATGCTGAATCCAAACTTAACATGGGAACAATGCAGTATTCAACACTACCTTAATGAGATGTTTTCAACTCCCAACCCGCCTCGTATTTCACATCACAAAGGAGGAAGAGGATCTGCCAATTTTGTGGCTAGCAAAAAAAAAACTATGGATGTTTTTCTTTTCTTCAACAAACATGTTGCCTCCAGCAAACTGCTTGAGTAGCCTTTAGTTGATCAATGAATTGACAGGGATAAACAAAGGTTCATAAATGTCATCCTCAAATTGATGCACATGCTAAACGTATTAATTTAACCTAAAGGGCCAAACATTTTTAACCCTTTGACTCTGTCACAAAGTTGCACAGTATTGCTCTGCTGTATCAAAAATAACGGAAAAAATAAAAGCAGAGCAGGATCCAATCGGATGCTGTAAATTAATCGGTCATTTATTTTGGAATTATACCCTTTCTTTGGTTTCAGTTGCTTATTAGCCACAGCTTTACTTTAATGCCTGGCTTGGCGAACTCCAACACAGCGCCCTCACAATCAAATTGGAAACAGACTTTTACCTTCTGCCTCTGTCACTAAAAATACTTTACTCTGCAGGTTGCTTTCCTTCCTTTACTGCAAAGCAAAGTTCTTTTATAACCTGCTGTTGAATATTGATAGGATAACAATGGCTGTGTAACGCTCTGTAATCCGTGAAGTTTTCTTTCCTCCATGAAACATGCTAAGTCATGACCTCGATATGGTGCTCGTGTTGTTTTAAAGCCTCCTGCTGTGTGAGCCTATAAAGGAAAATGTTCTCCCCAAAAAAGCTGAATGCCAAATGGTCTTTTCATGCAAACTATATTACTACCATATTTGTTAATCTTAAGCAGAGAAATTACATTCAAAACATTTGTATCCACTGTTATTCTATGTGAAAACATTTTGAGCTGAAACACATTGCAGACCGAATGTCAACTATCGACTCCCATTTAAAATTCAAAAAAACATGCTTGTGTTGTGAAGCTCAGCCACTTTTACTTGCATTGCTGCTTGCAACTGGAACATTGAACCGTGTCCTATCTTTTCCTTCTGTGTTGTGTTGCACTACTACAACTGACCAATCACAGCCCAACCTAAAACAAAACGTTTGATGCTTTTGAAACTCAAGTAAAATTCAGTGACTGTTGAGCATTTTGACTTGCCGTGTATTTCCAAATGTCCTACATCCACACAGAATATATGAGGCCCCGATTAGACAAAGGAACCCAAGCCACACTGCACTGCACACAGTGGGTGAATCACAGCAGAGGGCAAGAGGAGACAGAATGCAACAGCAAAAATATACCCGTGCTGCTGCACTCCCCCACCATGCTTGAATGCCATGGGTTGCATCCTTTCATTGAAATACAGTACATGTGTTTTCAAATCTCTTTAACAATATGTCTGTGTGGGCCCAAAAACAGCAAAAACAAACCAAATGGCTGAGCAGCACAGCCAGTGCAACTGCTAACTGCAAGCTTCAAAAATGGTTTCACGTAACAGTTACTGTTATCTTTTTTCTACAGCTACTACAACTGGAAGACACAGGTGTCCACGTCCAACTCGAGCCCTAACTTTGAGGTGATTTATGACGATCCTAACGGCCTTCTGTTTAAGAATAAGAGGGACAAAAAGATGCTGAATGTGGACCCCGTGGTAAGTTTTTTTTGTTGTTGTTGTTGTCCTGCTTTGTTTTTAAGCCCCAGGGAGACAAATGGTACTGCTAATTAGATCAGCTCACCTGTTGCACAGCAGTAAAATGTCCCAGGAAAGCAAAAAGCCTATAGGGCTGCTGCACCAGGGACTTCTTTTAAAACAAAATGTGTTGTCCTCGTGGCTCAGGAAGCCAACTTGCCCTGTACCCACAACATCCTGTTGGTTTAATATGGTCTGGGACTTTTTGTTGCATTCCATGCCCTTACTTTCTCCCAGTGTCTCCGGGTTTAACCACTGAATGCGAAAATATTTAAGACTTTTAAAATAGTTCTCTGTCAAATTTACTAATTGGCTAATTTTTGTCTGGAGTCTCACACATATCAGACACAGTCATTTTCAGAGGGAGCCTACACTGTAAGAGAATCAGTGACTGACAGAGAGAGAGAGAAAGAAATCATTGGAGGGAAAGATATTTGCTTTCCACCTGCACAAAGAATGGAGGATCAAGGGGTCGAGACAGGTGCTTCCTCCACACTCACAGACCAACAGGGGCCCTGGAAGAATAACGACTGACAGACGGTGTTTTTTTCTCTCCAGTTTCCCTCTTTGCTGGGGGGTAGGGAAGTAGTTGATGGGGCTGAACTATTTTGAAATTGCAGACAGAGCTGTGGGGACTGCGTTTTTGAGGCCAAGCGCCAAAATGGCAGCACAGTGTTCTAGCTGCGGTCGAGCACCGCCCCGACCAGGCTGTCTATTAAAAACACAAGAGAAGGCATAGGAAGCCAGACACAGCAAACCACCCGTGTGCCCAGAACCCAGCACAGCTCAGCTCAGCCCAGATTGGCTCGGAATGGAGCAGCGCAGAACCATCCGGCTTTTAACCCACCATGAGCTCACTAGCTGCTCATGTGGCCGCAGATCCGCAGTGGAACCTTCCCAAATCAAGGCTCACATCAATTCATTTTGGGTGGTTTGTTTGTTATTTTGTCTTTGTCATACCATGACCACTTTTTCTGCACTTGCCAAAAAGTGGGTTGGGGGATGGAGGGGTTGTCATATTTCAGTTATGACAATGGCTCAGTCAGTCTAAGTAAAATGTTGTTCGTTTTTTAAAGTTAATTAGATGACATGAGTGTTAATGACGTATTTGGGCTTCTGTAAAAATAGATGTTTATCATTTAGTTTACCCAACATTTCCCATTTTCTCTTATATGTCTATGAAGTCATTTTTTATTGGTCTATTTTCATTGACGCTCTTTTGAACTTGCAAAGGAAGACCGCCTCACTTATTAGGACACCCACAAGTGTGTTTGAGGTAAAAGTGTAAATTGAGTGTAATGGTTGGCTATGGATCCACTCCCACTAGAAGCTTTTGACACACTTAGCCTTAAATAAATGTTCCCAGATGCTAGTGGCTTCACATCTTAGTGGTGGGGCCATGTCAGTTCTGACATTCAAAGTAACACAAAACATCTTGGAATATGAACAGTTACAGTCGCTGTCAAATTATGCTGCGCTGGCCTCCCCTTTAATATACCTGTTATTATAAAGAGATGTTCTGGATAACTGCGGTTTTGTTTAATTGCTAACATACTTAATCTATGGCAGCTCTAACATTTGAAACCTGCATTAAAAGACATTTCTTATATCCACATTAAATCTACTGATTCTTTGTGATGGGAAAGGTGTTCATAGTTCCAAACCCACTGAGAATTAACACCAACTCGGAGGCTCTATACAGCTTTTAAATTCTTTTTAGTTTTAGTTCTCCAGTTAAACATACGCTGTATGGTTGAGTCTTATGACTCTTATTAACCCCCTGTACAAAACCATAGCCAGCTGTTTTCAGTAAACATGCTCAGATAAACGCACTATATGCTACCTGCCCAGCACTAGCCTACGTAGAGAAAGGTGTTCTTGGTAACCACAGGTTGCAGAGGCTTGCAGAAGAGTTGAGTGCACACCTCCTGATTTAAGTAACGCTTTGTGTTGACCTGTATGTCAAGCAAATTGATTGGTTGATTCAATACCTGTCGATAGGCAAGTTCGGAATGCAGTGGAAAAAAAACTTTATACAAACTGTACATACAATTATAAAAGAAACAGTCACGCAAACGTCTCCGGACCGGAGATTCACCTAGCCCAGAGAAGCGTGTTTAAGCTTTAAGAAAACAATTTGCTCACATGTTGAACAACTTGAAAAACCAGTTGTATGTTCGGAATATAATTGCTTTAGAGATCTTCTGCCCCCTAGTGGTCAAAAATGCTTAATGCTGCTTTAAAACCCTAATTTGTAGAGGTGGGTTCGGACCGAAAGTGAAGGAAATGTATATAAATGTACATAAAGTCGATGGAAAGGCACAAGTGGTGCCATGAATTGATGCATCCACACAGGTTGAAAGTGTAAGTTTGAGCAAAAGGTTTCTATTCAAGAGGCAAAAAGGAAAGAAACTGGGGGAAAAAATGGGAAAAAATGACACACAAAAGCACATTCAAGCACATTTTCTTGATTAAACGCAGACAGTAAAAACACCAATTAACACATGAAGCAAGGTGGAAATTCACTTTAAATTTATTCTTAATAGACCTTTATGCACTGTACATAACGCTGTCCAAACAAGCTGTACTAACTGCTCTAAATCTGTGTTGGGTTCCAGTCTGGTCCTGGTGAGGACTCCAACAGGACGTTTCTACGGTCCGACCTCTACATCCATGTCGTCATCTACGACCACAACATCAGGACAGTCTAAACTTCAGAGGCTGCTGCCGACACATTCATACATATGGCACATATTGGAGAGCACTGGAAGCCTCTAATTTGACTGAGTTGCTTTAGTTGCACCATCATTTACAAACTGTTCCCCTCATATCATGCATGCCATCTGGGTGGAGGTGCTGCAGTGAAAAAATGGCTTTAAAGTGAGGATTCCCAAAGGAAGAAGTGGATGGACCAGTGTGACAACTTGGAAGTTTTCTTGCAAAAAGCCTGAGATTATATATGTTGCTTTAGATTTTGCAACATTATCCTACTCTAAAGCGACAAAATCATTTGTTTAAATTAATTCTTCTGTATTCCATTTATTGAAGACCAGAACCAAGTTCAGCTCAGTTTGTTTGGTATTCACCAAGCAGCAGTCTTAGTTAGGGGCAGGAACCTGCTTGGGGACCCCGGGCTTGTCCCATCGTTTGGCCTGGCATGTTTTGGGCTGTTTGTCTAAACAAATTAAAGGCGTAAGAGCTTTGAAAGATGATGGGGGTTCCTTTTATGTCCTCCCCCAGGCTGCGGTTGCTCCAATTGGACTGGAAGAATGGGTAATGGGCTTAAAGCATTCCGTATGTTCCCAGATGCAAGGCACACTTTACAGGACATCAAAGTGCTCTATCATTTACATATTAGTCATTCACTATGACATTTTTAATGGAAGACAACTCTACAAATAACCTGTTTTAGGAATCATTTAAGAAGTACAAAAGACTTTTAGCAACTTGCTCCCTTTTAATTTCAGGATTTCAATTTTTTTGCATTTGTTATTGAAACACCTGGTATGAATCAGCCGCCCCACAAGAAACATTTTCTATGTCTATAAGCTAACAAATTACAGGGTCTTTGTTATTTGTTCATAAATGTGTCTGTAGACTCTGCAGACAAATAGTTGGGGGTAAAACATTTTTTCCATTTAGTCACAAGGAAACATCCTGCACATGTGCCAGCTTTGTGGAGGTATTTTTGTGCACTTCCAACCATGGAGTAAAATATAGGCATTCAACGTAGTCCTGCATTGATGCACAGTAACAAGAATTAAGGTTTCTTATGATGGTTTCACAACAATATTACCTTTCACTGGAACAATAATAGTCTTTAAAAGAATACTTTGACATTTTTCTGGAAAATATGCTTATTTTCTTTCTGAGAGTTGGATAAGACCGAGGCCTCACTCATGTATGTATGGTAAATATGAAACCACAGCCAGCAGCAGGTGAACTTAGATTAGCATACAGACTTTTGTATGCTACTGGATACTTGAATTTCCCTCGGGATAAATAAAGAAATAAAAAAAAATCTATCTAGACTGAAAACAGGGGGACATGGTAACAAAATCTGCCTTCATCTTGTTTGTTTAATCCGTAAACCAAAACTTATGTTTTTAGAGGGGGTTGTGCTGGACTATTTTTTTCGTGATTTTCTTTTTTTTCTTTGGAGCCAGGCTAGCTGTCTCCCCCTGCTTCCAGTCATTCACAGTAAGCTAAGCTAACTGTCTCCTGACTGTAGCTAAATATTTAAAGCTGCCGTAGGTAATGTTTATAAAAATTACTTTTTGTCATGTTTTTGCTGAAACTTTCACTATATTCTGACAGTAGTACATGATACACACTTTGGGGCCCTGGGAAAAGCTGTCTTTCTCGGCTCTGATTGGTTGTTTTCATTCAGGCACAGTGGATTCTTGCAAATGTCGTTAGGAGCATTAGTAGGAGCCAGAGGAACTGATTTTCTTTCCTAATTTTTTCCTCATATTCTACAGTCGGAATTTAGTGAAAGTTCCGCAATGATTTTAGCAAGTTATTTTAAGTTACTGCAGCTTTAATGCACAGACGAGGGTGGTATTGATTTTTTTCATCTAACTCTCAGCAAGAAAGAAAAATACACTTTGCTGTCTTTCAACATGTTCCAACTAGTCCTTTATAAACCGACATTGTGGCAGCCATATTTAACGTGCCCTTGTTTTAACTTCCCCTGCATCCATTCTGGTGAAATTTTATTTTTGAAAGTTTTGAGGTTTAAACAAATTAGTTCATTGTAATACAAACCTCTAATGTTCCTCAGCTGCCCTGATACCAGAGCAGCCTTCCACTGGCTGCATCTGTTTGTCTGTTTTGATGGAATTGGACCCTGTTGGCCTCATTGAAACAATATGTGTGGTGACATTGGGATGTGGGTTCTGGTTCTGTAAAGCAGGGATTTAGGGAATGGGGTCTGGTTTGGGGTTTTCTTAGTCAGTGGGTTTCTGGTTGTTGTTTTTTTAAGATGTGAGTTCTGGTCATGCTTTGGAATGATGATGAAACAAGGTTTGTGAAAGTCTTGAGGGGTCATAAAAAAACAATGTGATTGACTAGAGAGACCATTCCTTTTTTAAATTTATTTTTTGTCTGTCTTCAAATCCGTTTTTGTTGTTGTATGTCTTTAAATGGATGTGTATTTCTGTCTTGTTAAAACAGCTCTGAAGAAACTGGTTTGTCTTTGCTATTGTCTCGAAAACACTAACTGGACTAACAAGGATGAGAAGCATATTGAAATTTGGCAGAGGGATGGCGTTGGGAAGGTCATGTCCTCTTTGACTTCTTTTGAAAAGGCCAGATTTAACCTCGGGACGAAGGCTGTCGTAATCCCAGAACCATCCACCTGACTATCTCACTATCTGCCCTGCTTTGTTTTGTTGTTTTTATGTGTTGGAAGTAACTGACCGGGTGGCAAATGAACATTTCACGCTCATCTACAGCTGTTTAGGTTTACAGGCCACAGCTCATTCATGTGGTCCAGTGATGGTGATGGAACAGCCCCGCTCTGCTCTCCCTCCCTGAAAGTGGCATCAGTCATTACCAAACACCTAGCAATGAAAACAGCAGATGTGCGCATGAAAAAAAAGGCAATTTGATTGACAAACAAGTATCACTCAGGAAATGCACAGGCTACTTTTAGCGTGCCTTGACTCTGTGGAAGAACAAACCTTAAAAAAATATATAAAAACAGGTTGCTGGAACTCACCCACACAGACCGTGTGTCTGTAAATAGTAATGATTTCACAATAAAATCTAATTTAAATGGCCATATCCTTCTTCATTTCTTTTATTGGGCTTTTAAGCTGTTGGGGTTTTAACTGAAGCGTGGTTTTATTAGTTTGAGGCCTGACTTGCCCCTAATATACACAACATGAGGTAAAGAGGTGGATTCAGACTAAACTGGGCCTTAGATAGTACAGTCACTCTTTAGCCTTTGCCATGTAACAAGCTCAGCCCTCTTTTTCAAAAAACCTTTTGGGTTTGGCATTTCATTACCATCAGCATTACCAAGCTCTGCATCAACCCTAATTTAAAGCAAACATAAGAACACTATGGCATGGTGAAAATTCATGCATAAAAATTACAGTGTTGACCAAAGTAGCATTTTAGGTTGCAGCTTTTGATGAGCGATTTCATTTTAAATGTACATGACTTGTCATGGATAGATGATTACAATGGACTTTGGAATCTACCAGCAGGAGGCTGGTAACAATAATGCTGTTGAGACAATGCAACAATATAATCTTAATCAAAAGAAAACATTTTGCCAGGTATGTAAAAAGAATTAATTAATACCCTTAGTTAATTAAACAATCTGAATAAGGGTGAATTTCTTGATTGAGTTCCTTTGTTGGATATACCAGACCTGCAGGCACTTCAAAATGTTAAGCAGGCCTTATGTTAAAGGGTAGGTTCACATTTTTCAAGTCTGGTAATACAACAGTGATAATAGTCAGATCATCCCTCCTATTCTTACTGGTCAATATAAGTTACGGGGACAATCCAATCTTTGTTCTGGGTAAAAATACATTCCATCTATGATTTATTTCTTAATTTTAAGTATTAAGAACAACATAAAAAGCATGTTTTTACAGGTCTGAAAAAGTACAGATTAATTGATAGATTTTTTGCTGCTGCTTTGTTGTTTTTCTTTATCGGTTCCCTCCTGCCCATCTCCTCCCAGTTGAAGGGGTTAAACCCTTTCAGTATGTTGACTCCTATGAAGGACATGGCATGCTAATATTATTGCCATCAGATGTCCAAGGGCGGTGAAATGCCCTAATCATTTCCTCCCGAGTGCCCCTGAAAGAGAAGCCCAGTGGCGGGGGGTGGAGGGCGGCTGGACGGGGTGTTTAAACCCCGCCTGGATGGGCTGTTTTGGGGGACGGTGGGGAGGGTGGGGGGCACAGTACAGCATCCGGATCGGACCGTGATGGTACAGGATGTGTGTGCTTAACTCCATTGAACTAAACTAAATAGGGGAGAGAGCCTTTAATGCCGACAATAAGCCGCTTCATTCAGCAGCGCGGCCCAGACGCACAGCTCTGCGGAGTAGAAATTACGCATGGAGGGGCTGTTCTGTGGCAGCAGTGGAAGTCAGTGCAATAAATCGCTTTAATAAAACATTTTTTAAAAATCCGCCTCTTATCAACTTATCAAAACAGCCTCCTTCAGCTTCTGATAACATGAGATAATTTGTCCCCTGGCTAAATGTGCGTAAAAGTATCTCTAACAGGAAACTCTCTCTCTCTCTCTCTCTCTCTCTCTCTCTCTCTCTCTCTCTCTCTCTCTCTCTCTCTGAGTGTGTGTGTGTGTGTGTGTGTGTGTGTGTGTGTGTGTGTGTGTGTGTGTGTGTGTGTGTGCACGTGTGTGTACGTGTGTTAGAGAGGAATACCCAGCTGGTCCCACAAGCCCTATAATACCAAGCACAACATGCTTTACCTTCAATGAAAGCTGAGACGGGGGAACGGTTGACTGCTGGTCCTGAAATCAGCTCAAAGCTCGGATACAAAACCAGGAGCGTCGCTGTTTTAGAAGCTTAGTTCTCCCGCATCTGCTCAATTACACCTTCTGCTGTGCGTCGGAACTTTTGTCATTTACTGACTGTAAGCACGTTTAGACCTGCAGCTTACCAAAAGCAGAGAGACAACTTGGATAACGCTCTCATTTTTTCCCCTGCCCACCTTCCTGTCTTGCTGTGACTGGTGTCAAAGGTGATGGTATCATTTTCTAACAGAGGAGGGCTCCTCAGGTGATGGTATGTCTTTTTGGAGATAGGGATCACTTTTGGAAACGTGCTAGGTTTTCCACAACTTTTATTTTTTCTGCTGCTACCTTCGCTTTGGCTCAAGCATGGCTCTCTACTCTCGGTTTGTGGTCGTGCTGCTTTATGGATGGAGTTATCTGTGCGTTGGATACTGCGCGATGCTGAAAATAGACAATTTCCCCGAGAGACGAAAGGTGGATTTTACGCATTCGGTGGATAAAAAGCACACTGCGAAAGACGACCAGGATCTGCTTTTACAGGATACAATGACGGAACACATGCAGATGCTTTACGCCAAGTACAACCGGGCTGGATTTCCCTTCAAGGACGGCAACACTGTCCGCAGTTTCAAAGCGCATTGGGGTAGGTATCCAACATTTTACGCACGTTAACAACACTTAGTTGAGTACTACCAGTCGCCAAATGCATACCTGCATGTCTTGTATGAATTTTGGTAAATGTAAACTGAATCTGGCAACGTCTCCTGCCTTGCTCACATGGAATTATCCGCACATTGCAAGTGCACCGAGCTGTGTGGCCACAGAATGTGCGCACAGTGAGGGGCATATTTGGAAAAAAAAAAAAAAAAAACAACCTACACATACATATACATTTCAGTATAAACATGTTTATTATCCTATTTAGCTTTTGACATTATAAAGAATTGGTGGAAAATGGTGCCACTCGTGCAGGTTTATTGAGCTGAAAGGGAAATACACCTGTTGATCCAGTCATGGAAATGTGATCAACCTGTTACTCCTTCCCTGTGCCCGGACCAGAGATTCCACATCGGATCTCTGCATGCAGCTCAGAATTGTTTGCGGACACAATTGTTTTCACACCTTAAGATTTTAGTGTCAGATAGTCGAGATAGATTTCCCCTCGGGCCAGCATCTGGCAGCTGCCCAGCCTGTCTGTATGGCGGCAGAATTTTCACTGCATTGAGTTTCTGCATTTAAGCTGCTTTTATTAGTGTATTCTCCAGGAACTGCTGTAGTAACTCTAATGTTATTAAGCTCAAAATTGCTTAAAGGCTACGCTGTGTTATTGTCTCTTAGACGCGAGCACTATTAAGGACGACCAGTTGCCATTTAGGGTCAAAGTTTGTTAGATTATACTGCCTCCTGTCGCCTGGTAGCTGCATGTCATAGCATATAAAGGGTCAGTTCACCCAAATTAAAAACAAATTTTCTCAAGACCTCAGTGGTATCTAGCCATGCAGATAGTTTTGGTTTTATTTACCCAGGTTTTGAACCCTGTCCTGGTTAGTCTGGATAATCCACCGACCTCACTGTAAAAGGGTTTCAGTGAAACTACTACCTTTTGAAGAAAGAGAAACTATTAAGTGTGTTTTGTGGAATTTACAGCATAATGGTGAGCGTCTGAGAAGACATTGCTTTTGAATTTTCTAAAGATAATTTTTGAAAGCTTTCAAACCAAATACCATTGTATTGGGGTGGAGGTAGAAAACCTGACAGACATTTCATAACCTGGGCAAATAAAACCAGTATCTGCATGGCTAGGCATGTTGGATCAGGAAAAGGTATATAAATACATATTATTATTATTATCATTAGTATGCATTTAATTAATAAGGGAAGGCCATGGTTTAACTTTTGAAATCCTTCTCAACTGTGCTGTATAAGTAATATTACTCATTATATACACAGGTACAATAAACAAGAAGCAGCTGCAGATTTTCAACCTCACCTCCCTCACCAAATCAGAAGACGTTCTGTCAGCCACTCTTCATTATTACATTGGAGACCTTCAGAACAGCACCCAGGGCTGCTCCAGGTCCAAAAGCTGTGGCCGCCACGGCCCCCGGAGGCACAGCCATATCCACATGGTCATCTGGAGTTTTGCCTCTGTGGATAACAAGATGAGGACTCTGGGACACTTTCGGATCAATGTATCCACCCTCTACAGGGACTTCATATCTTGGCAGTGGAAGGACATAACTCGTGTGGTCAACCAGGCCAAAAACCACGACGAGCTGCTGATTGGGATTGATGTGGCTTCACAAGGGCCCCAGCCGTGGAAGAAGCTCCTGTCGGACCGCTCACCGTACATCCTGGTCTACGCCAATGACTCTGCCATTTCAGAACCTGAAAGTGTGGTAGCCACCCTCCAGAGACACCATCCGGTGGGAGGGGAGGGCTCCATTTCACACAGTTTCCATAAACTTGGACTGCGTGAGCGAAACAACACTGAACAAGAACAGCCGCAGCCCAGGCACAAGCGCTCGGTCAACGTTCTGCTCCCGTTGCAAAACAATGAACTTCCCGGGCCCGAGTACCCCTACGAGACGACCGGGTGGGATGAGACGAGTCCATACGAACCTTATGAAAACAAGCAGGCCCGTCGGCCACGTAAAAAGACACGCAAGAATCAGCGGCACAAGATGCCCCTCCTGCAGTTTGACGAGCAGACGATAAAAAAGGCGCGAAAGAAGCAGTGGAACGAGCCCAGGAACTGCGCTCGAAGATACCTAAAAGTGGACTTTGCTGACATTGGATGGAGTGAATGGATTATTTCACCAAAGTCGTTTGATGCCTACTACTGCTCAGGGTCCTGCCAGTTCCCCATGCCAAAGGTGAGATTCCGAGTCTTGTAGTGCACTTCTGCAGTGGTTCCCAACCCGAGGGTCAGTAACTGGAAAGTAGACCACATTACGGGATTATTTCATAACCCAAAGACATATGCAACTTGTGACAACAGGTTACAAGACTTTGCTTTGCTTTTATGGGTCACAAGCCAAAAGGGTTGGGAACCACTGCACTACTGGGGTATACTTCCAACAGTTATTGTAACCTTCTTGTTTCAAATTACAAATTGGAAACCAAGTGATGGTCACCGCCACTTGGAAAGGCCTTATTTCTTCTTTTTGTAATTTGAACCTTTTTTCAGTTTTTGCCAGCATCCTAATCTGTTTTGTCACCGGGTATATATAAACGTATATAAATGTGTTTTAAATGCTCTGGTTCAGATAAATGTTTA